CTTGGTCACCTTATTTATCAGTATAAAGTCTTCCCTGAGTTTGAACAACAGATGTCCTGTATGAAAATATCATGCAAAATTGAGAAAATCTGATAAAATATTTTGACTGTTTCTACTTGAACTGATCACTGGTGATATGCATCAAAGGTCACTGATCTCAATGGAAAATGTCATTGTTGTATGTGTTCAATGAAGCAAATCAATCATCTTGTAATAATATTTTTGGTAATGTATCTCCCAAATCCCATGGGAATACTATACTGGGTTTCAAAACCAACTCATGGAGAGATTTTTTGCAGTCTGATACACATTTGCAAACCTACCAATAAAATCTTTACAGAAAACAAGATGTCAGAAAATCAATATAAGCACTCCTATGAACTGGATGCCAAACTTTGATCAAGATCTGAAGCTAATAGAAAATCTGTTTAGTTCAAAGTTATCAAATCAAAAACAATACATAAAAAAATACATAAAAAGCAAAACGTTGCATCCCCATTTTTGAAAAGAAAATTGTACTAAAATATGTGTATTCTGTATTTGACAAACAGTTCATTCGACAAATGAAAATTCACAGGAATTTGTTTCAGCTATTAGAACAGAATGATAGAGTTTTTATAATACTAATTTAAAAACGCACTTCAAAAACAAAGATTGCAGTGTTTGAAGATGTAGATTCTCAGGAGGCAACAGTACCGTTGACTTCTCTCTCCACTGGACACTAACTAACTATTTAAGTTGATTTTCATACAAAGCAGAGCTTGCAACATGATAGCTATTCATAGAGGGTGTGTTTTTTTACTTTTCATATAATACAGTAGTCACACAATGAGGCAGTTCATATTTGTCTCAGTGAATCATTAATTTTTGAAAGACACCTGTACAAAATACTTGGACAAAAGCTAGCTAAGATTTTCTGTTATCTTGCATGTTTCATGAATCTATTCACGTCTAAATGCAGCACTTTTTTTCTGCGTTGCGGCATTTGTTTTTATACTAAAATATCTGAATTACTTTGAATAAAGCTGGAAATTATGTCCCTTAAAATAATTAAACAAATTAGGCACCAATGTTTTTGTAAGATATTTACATCTATCAAGGATATTTGGTAGACTGATTCCCCACTGTTGGTTCAACCCCAAAACTTGTTTGTATTCAAAATTAATTATGACAATGCATATTTATATTGAAACAAACTATGATAAAGGGAATAATGTTATATAACAAAGGGCAAGGTCACCTAAGTTCAACTATGTTATGAATCTTTAGCTGAATATGCTAATTATGCTTGAGATACTTTAGTTGGTGGACATGTACCTGCATTTACGGCTCCCGATTTTTTTCTAAATCGGCAGAAATGTTACGCTTCATAAGGATATTTTTTTCAAAATGAACTTACTATGGTTATTAGTATGAGGTACATATATTGTCATTGCATCAATGTCATTGTTGTTAAAGGCCCAATTTACTTGCCCTGGGCAAGTGTGAATTGGAGGTGTGGCTATGCTAATGAGTGTTGTTAATCACTTGCATAGCCTATGACGCATCCTGTTTCAGCTGTCCAATTATTAATTATTCAAGATTAGTAGCGCGCCCCTTTCCCCGGTTCGTGTTTTTGACTTTTATCCGACAAAATTTCAGCTCGTACACTATTTATTGTCATAAATACTAAACACAGTCACTGCTGTGATATTCGTAGTCACATACATCCACTTTGGCATGACATAATCGACCTGTAAGTTAGAGAAAACGCGTTTTCACCGGAGCTTGGCTGGAGCTGTTTACTACAGTATGACAAGCAAGGAAATAATCTCTATTGTTTAGGAGCGTATTTATAGTATACCTGGGCCTTTAACGAGTCTGTAATTCTTATATTGCCATGATGAACATAATACTGCTGCACGATTTGGTACTCTCCATTTTACTGTTCGAACAAGCAGAGACTGATGATGTTCATCGTGCATATCGCCACATTTACATATCAGTGACGTTTCACACTAAACGTCACTACTGTGTATGATATGCATCACGGTCATGTGTGAATACATGTAGTGTGCATTCTTGACCACCTTGATGTATGTTATTGCAGGTTGATGCTACTTATGCAGAGTTTTACCCGCTTCATTGAGCAACTACTGGGTGTTAGCTCCCCAGGCAATAACCATGTTGGTTCCCAAATGTCAGTCGGACTTGCTACCAAGAAATTCTGGCACAAAATGATTCAAGTGTACACAATGCTACAGCAACAGCAAAGTGAAGTAAGTTGAATTAAGCAGTGTAAGGTGATTTATACACGAATTCTTTCACTACAAATATTATTTCTGTCTTATTATTTTTTAATTCTGACATAAATCAATGGTCTGTATACACACCTTTTATTTTCAGTATCTGGAGGCTGTATCAAGGCAAAACAAATTGTGTGGTTCTCAACATGCACTTCAAAAACAACAAGTTTTTCTTAATTTAGCCAAATTTATTGAAATCTTGTGTGATTTTGCAACTTTTTTTTATATCTGGCCCTTCAAAATATGGATAGGCAATACAATCTAGGTTGGGTTGGGTTGATTATCATAACCATATTTGTATTTGACATTATGATTACATCATGCTTTTACATTTACATTTCCAGTTACTTTCTGATGTTCTGAAACAATCATATTTTTCAATAAATTCTTTTGCAGAACAAAAGCAAAAGTCGGACAATAGTTAAATTAGAAAATGCCATTGGAGAACTCCATGAGGAGAATGAGCGACTGAAACCACAGGATGTAAGAGCCTCTGGTATGTTTCATATGATGACACAAAGCTCCTCATTCCATCCATCAAACCCGCCAAAGTCACTAGGTGACATCATCCCGCCAAATATCACCGAGGACCCATTTCGTCCTAGAACCGCGCAGAGATACGAGATTGCTAAGGAAGTGAGGACAGTGCCATGTCAGACTCACGAGACTGCCTTTGTTCCATGTCAAGCATGTGCCTGTGTGCAGTTAAGTTTGAAGGAAGTCAGTGGAATGATTATTGATGTGTGTAAAACACAGGGACTACCTAGTGCTGTAGCTAAACACAAAGCGCATGAACACAGTAATGTTCTATCAGCAAGTGATGTTTCACGTTGGACTGCCGAACAAAACAAAGACCTTGCAAGAATTAATAAACATTTAGAGAATCTAATGAGTACTATTGAGCCAATGAAAGTAGATTTGGCTGCTTCACAAGCAATGTGTGAGCAACTCAGTCAACAGGTTTCTAACGCTGAGAAAAATATTAAGAAGGAGAAAGACAAACAGAGTAGTTTAATAAAATGCCATGAATCAAAAGTGAAGGAAATTGAGAGAACACATGCAGACTCAGTCTCCATTATAAAGCGAACCAATCTGGATTTGAAAAGTGGTAAACAGAAATTGGAAGATCAGATGTCAAATCTGAAAAGGGAATTGGTGAGGCAACAGGATGCACTGCAAGATCTTGGTAATATTTTATGTCACTATACTTGGTAATATATGGTATATTTTAGACTGGCCCACCAGTGGCAATTTTATAATTTTCTTTCTTGATGTGAAAATACCACGACTGGTGGATTCTGCAGCACATCCATTACTATTACTTATTCATGATATGCAGTGACGTTATGGAACCTGGGAGGGGAAAACTTTCAAAAGATGAATGTATGTGTGTGCTCACGCAAAAAGATTCTATGCATCAGGCCACACATGAGCGATAGTTGCATGGGACAGATCAGACAAAAAGCAAATTTATTTCCTCAAAAATGTGGTGACTACTATAGAGGGTGTGGCAGAATTGACTAGTCGTGGTAGATTCTACAAACTCTTTCTAAGGGATTTAGCATATGAAACAATGAAATTGCCATGACTGGGTTAGTCTAGATCACAGTTAGCTGGCGCACGCGTGATAATAAAATAAATACGATATTTACTATATGGGGCCTGCCATCTTGAATGCAGCGTAAAACTAAATAAGAGACAAGTTGTGAAATGCGTTTTTCAGATTCCTACAAATCAGGACAAAAATACCA